GTTTGTTTAGTATGATTTTACATTGAGCATTTATACTAAAACACTTATTATTTTAACTCTGTATACAACTTATTAAAAAAAAAGTGCAAATACATACTAACCGTTTTCAGCATTTTGACGACGTCTGTTGTATATTTAGTTTATTTTTTTTCAAACTATTAACACGTCTCATAAAACAAGTTAACTTTTACCATAATATTACCAATACACTTTAAAGAAATAAAAATACAAATAAATCAAAGGCAAAGGGCCAGCCTGCTTCCGTTGTAAAATAGACACCGCGCCATTACTATGATACAAAGTTTTAAAGTACCCTCGTTTTATATTTTTGAATGAAGAATCAGAAATAAATTTATTTGACGTAGTATGTCAAAAATCATGATACAGACAAATAATATGATATTGATGTTTGTGTGGAAAGCAAATAAATAAAAATAAGCTAATAAATCTAGAAAAAAAACTTTAAGGAGAAGATATATTTAAAGAATCCTTATTCTAACAAGATATTCCTACTTTAAAAAAATAAGAAAGTTATAAGATAAATTATTCATAGATTTATATCGTTAGATAGGCCCTTACCGCAGTGAGACCGCGCCGTGTTGTTCCACAGTCGAAGTGAGTGAGCTCACTAACCTGGGATCAGTGCACCCCTAAACACAGTGTTAGCCGGACGTGTTGTAAAGGACATTTGCGAGCAGTTTAGTGTCACAAAATGCCATCGTGTGCCTTTCTAAAGTGCAACAACAATTCTAGAAACACAAATAAAGCCAGAGGTGTAACATTTCCCTCGTAAGTATTGCGATTTGATTTAAAAACTTTTATTTTTCCTTCCGCACCGTCTAAAATAACAAATTTAAATGGCGAGTGCACGAAAGAGAAAGTAGTGTTTGCAACTAATGTAGGAGAAAAAGAGATGACACTATTTTCTCAGTACATAGGTAATAACAACAGATAAGTACAATGGCAGAAACACGATTTTTGAAGTTATACTTCTTTAGGCGCGTTATGAAAAATTTATGAGAGTGAAATTTTACAATGCGCGCGCACCCGTGACACAAAATTAGGAGTGTGATTATAGCGTGCGCGAGCGAGATAGGAATAAGACAATCTACAAGTAAAAAGAAATAGAATATGCGTGAAGTTCGTATGCCAACGATTTTGAATGACCATAATGACATTTGTCATTTACCTTTTAAACAAATAAAGGAGCTTTAATTATTTTTTCAAAGAAATTTAGCGATGCTTTTTGAATTATAATCAGAAGTGATTTAAATTGAATATTTAAACCAATACTAATTAATATTTGTGAAAAAACTGTGCTCATCAACCTTCCTAAGTGCTTCAATACAATTGAGGTTAACTATCCGTATGTATTATTATTATTATCGAGTAATGTTTTGATTAAAAAATTAACCACATTGTTTAATCAAAACATGTAATTTTTCTGATTTTATCTAGCAAATATAAGGAAAAGAGACAAAAAACAATTGATGAATCAGTGTAAGTGCACTAAATTGAATACAAAAAAAGAGTTTTCATCTTATCGCTGTGAAACATCAAAAACTGGAGGTGGAACAAAGCCAAACTATTTTTAATATTGCCAAAGAAGTATAACTTCTTACGCGCGTACATAAGTACACGGACCCTTTTTTTAAATACTCGTTAGTGTGCGTGTGTCGGCATTTTGCCACAGTTTTTGGTGTCGGGGCCTATCTAACGATATAAATCTATCAAATTATTTATGTATATTATGAGAAATTGAAAATTCACCCAAAAACTATTCTTAAACTACCATAAAAATATTCTTATAGCTAATAAATGTAGGGTGATGAGTTATAAGATTTTATAAACGGTGTACTTACATTATCGTCGTCATCACTGCTCAAAGCTATCACCTCAGGCTTTGTATCTATAATTGTCACTTCATCATCTATTACATTTTCTTTGAAATTCCCTTTTAATTTTCCTTGGATCCTGCTCTTTAAATCATCAGGTTCCTCTAACTGGGTCAAATCCACTACTTCATTACTTTTTGGTGATTTGTCATGCATAGGACTCGAGAATGGTGAACAAGAAATCCTTGAGTCATTCCTTGGTTTGGACATTTGGCTGACATTAATACCGGAATCTGGTAATTCGTTACTTGCAGATGAATGGGAGTGTGTTGACTAAAAAAACATTTTATAGTATTTGAATATAAAATGTATTATATGGTGGAACATAATCTCTATATATACATATATAAAATTTTCGTGTCGCAATGTTCGTTCCCATACTACTCCGAAACGGCTAGACCGATTCTTATGAATATTTTATGCATATTCAGTATGTCTGAGAATCGGTTACTATCTATATTTCAAACCCCTAAGTGATAAGGGGTGTCCACCCCAAAAAATTGTTTTTATTTTTTAGACAAATTATTTTGTTTTTATTTTTTAGACAAATTATTTTGTTTTTATTTTTTTATGATTCGGCATACAAAAATACAGGCAACCCTTAATTTTCACCCCTCTACGATCAACCCCTTTTTTTTTCTATAGTAGATAGTTAGTTTTTTTTAACTAAAAAAAATGTTTCCTAGAAATAATATACATGGCAAAACAATGTTTGCCGGGTGAGCTAGTTTGATTATCAAATTTTGTTCACTGTCAATTGATGAGTCAAGTTCAACCCAGGAATATATGTATTTTACAGGTGTGTTTGTGTGTATTGTGATTTACAGACAATTAAAGCTAATAAGACATGTGTCAGCTTATATACAAATAAATATGAATAACTTACATTGCCAGACTCAATATAATCAGAATCATCACTTTCATTGTCCTTTGGTACAAAACCTATTATACTCATTCTCGTCGCCCGCGACATAAATAGTTCGTCGTCATTATGGTCGTCATCATTATCATTAGTTTTATCCCCCTCACTATCATTATTTTTGTTTATCTCAGAGGTTTCGATTTCATATTCTTCAGTATCTGAATCATTGTTATGTGTAATGTTGTTAGTCGGATTTTTATCATTTCTTAAAGACACTTCTTTATCGGCAGTGTTAATGCTTTTATGATCTCTAATATTTTGTGTATCCTCACTCTCATACACAATACTGGCTTCATATGACTTTTCATCATAGTCGTCTTTTACAGTACTTAAAGTACTCTGTCTATTTGAATTATAAGGTGCATTTTCCTTATCACTTTCATCATCATCATCAGTTTGGTCAAGTTTAGATTGATCATCATCATCACATTCCACATCACTTTGAATGCTATCATAACTCATATTAATTTTTTGAAGTACCTTCTTTCCAATAATTTTCGCTGGTGTATGTTTTAAGCAGGCAATTTTTTTACTTTTATTATGTTCAATAATAATTGAATTATCAGTGTCTGAATCTAGTTGCAATATTCGTTTTTTCTTTTTATGCCCAATGAATGATTGATCAGATGATCTTGATGATCTAACAGATGCCTTTGAGACATCTACATCTGGTAATGATTCTATATGTAAAAGATAATGTATAATTATAATATAAGAAAGAAAGAAAAATCTTTATTATACACAATAACAGGATATTTAGCTAAAATAAAGTGCACAAGCCCCCACACTAGGGTTCCCTGTGTTGTGGGCAGCCAGTGTCTTCCTTATGACTTGTTAACTGTACTTTACTTTACAATTTCTAAATAACACAAATTTATAATAGAACTATTTTTCTATGTGAATCACAATTTATACCTACACATTATTTTAGTAAGTAAAAAAAAAATATTTTTTGAGGTATATAAAACTGTATACAACGAATATTAAAAGAGGAAAAGACAAAGCTTGATTAAACATAATATCATCCTAAGATTGAAAAATCGCTTACCATCATCAGAAGAGCTTAAAATAAGTTTCTTTGGAGTTACAAATGCATTTAATTTCAGTGGCGCATCTAAAATTTTATAAATTATTGATTTCATGTAGAACAATTATCATATATTTTATCATAAGTAATATTAATACTTACCTTCATCACTACTATTAACAATACTTTTATCTCTTTGTTCATCATCGGATTCTTCTAAAACAAAAGTTAAGTTATACAATAATAATTAGATTTTTAATAAGTGTTAGCTTAAGTTAGTTGATATTTATATATAGTTACTTCACCACAAATACATATTATAAATTAATGGTTTTGTTTTAATTATCTTCAATGACCGCATAAGAAACAAAAGTAATTAACAGAGCCATAACAGTGTGATAAGATTTATTCTTTGAAATAAGTAATATTAAGTATTCTATTGTTTTTTTAATTACCTATCTATCTAAATGCATAATTTTGTATAATCGTGTTCAAAATAAAATATTTTTAAAGAACAAATGCATACATAGCTTATTTCAGTGAGATGAATATTTACAAAGAATAATAACTATAATAAACCTACCAGACGTTTCGTCTGATTCAGGAATAAAGACTGTTTGGTTCTTTTTTGCTGGAGTCTTTTTAGGCGCATAGGATTCATCTAATAAGCTATTTTCAATTTCACCATCTGATACTTCAGCAGCACCGGTTTTATCACGATATTCAAAGAACGAGTTTTCCATATTCCTGGAGCAAAAACTAAATAGGCCTTTTATAGAAAAACTATAGTATGTTGTTATTATTACTAATGAGATAAAAAGAAAAGTTTTAACCAAATTAAAATCTCAACGATATCAATTCAAAAATTCAAAACAAACAGAATTGCTTCACAGATTATTAGAAACTGCCAAGTTTGACTTAAATGTCAATTGGTATTTGGTATTAACAATCAAATAATGAAAGATGAAGGCGAAATGCAACAGCTGGAGCGTTCAAATTAAAATTGACGTTGTAACTTGAAAACCAAAACATTTCAATTTAGAGACTTCGAATTCATTTATTGCATAGGAAATCCACACTGTTTAAATTGTTCAATTTGTTTAGTTAGTGTACAAGAAAATATCTTCAACTTACTAACTTTCAATTTCGATTCGTGATGACAGAAGTTCAGTTACAAGAGTTCAAACTTGAACCAGATTCTGAACTTCGTTTTGAAGTAGAATCGAAAAACGAGAAAGTCGTTTTAGAGGTTCGTTAATATTTACTAGTGTAACATTATGGTATAGAATGTGTACTAATCACTTGCGCTCTACTGCCCCGGTTTTAGGTTAAAAGCGGATATGCAGAGTTGTTTGGGACAGAACTTGTTAAAAACAAGCCATATGAGTTTCATACTGGGGCTAAAGTAGCTGTTTTTACGTGGCATGGTTGTACGGTGGAGCTCCGAGGTCGGACCGAAGTCAGTTATGTTGCTAAGGAGACACCAATGGTAAGAAAAGTTATGATTGGAATTGTTTATTATTTTAAAGTATTTAAATCAGGACAGCGTTATAGAATTACAAACAAACCGCAATTATGGTCAGTACTTAGTAATAATATAAGACCCAAGCAAGTTGAAAACAACTTCCCAGTTAAAATTTAACAGATTTGTCTACAAATAACTAGGATAGAAATACTGATACTGTTTTTTTTTTTATTTAAATAACTGTTTCCGGCGCCTGTAATTGGTTGGGGGTGATAACTATACCCCTTCTCCCCCCCCTACAACCCCTATTCGGGCGACCGATTTCTAAATAATTACCGATGATGGTGCTTCCACTATGGTCCTCCACAGGTTGTTTACTTAAATGTCCATGCTGCATTAGAGCAGCAGCGTGTAGCTGCAGAACAAGAAAACACAAGGGGTCCAGTTACAATGGTAGTTGGTCCTGGAGATGTTGGCAAATCCACCCTAACAAGGATATTGCTTAATTACGCTGTAAGGATGGCACGGAGACCAATATATGTTGATCTTGATGTTGGTCAGGGTCAAATTAGTGTGCCAGGAACTATTGGTAATAACTTAATTTATTGAATTTTAACAACAACGCTCAATAGTTTTTCATTGATTATTTTGTTTTAATTTATCACTCACTAGCTGTGCCCTGTGGTTTCTCAATCATATATTACTCTTCACATATACAAGTATGTCTTGTCATTCTAGGGGCCTTACTGGTTGAAAGGCCAGCATCTATTGAAGAAGGTTTTAGCCAACAGGCACCTCTAGTATATCACTTTGGTCATAAAAGTCCAGATGAGAATTTAGAGTTGTATAACACTATTGTCTCTCGGCTTGCTGAAGTTATAGCTGAAAGGTGTGAACATAATAAAAAAGGTTAGTAATACCTATGTTTAAGGTTTATCAAAGACCGGTGTGAGTGCTAAGGGGTATTTTTTTTTGATAAAGCGACTACAGGATTAACTAAAACAGATGCCCAAATATGAAGGCAACTATGCCCAATTGGGTATGCTAGAATTAAAGTCCCTAGAAACTATGGATTATACACAAAAAATACTTGAACTTTTCTTTTTCTTTATTAGCCTCAACTTCAGGAGTGATAATAAACACATGTGGCTGGGTGAAGGGTGCTGGCTACAAAGTACTGACTCATGCTGCCCAAGCATTTGAGGTAATATTACTCTATGTTAACCAGCTTACTCGAAGAATAAATTTATCATAATATTTCTTAGAGTTGTGACTTCTTTGTTTATAACTTAAATTTTTTATTTTTATCCGTGGCCTTAGTATAGTTTTATTGTCATAAAATGTTACATTGATTCAAAGTTATATTACAAATAAAATAATTTATGTACTAGGCATATTCTTTCAGACATTTTTTTTTTTTTAAAGACAATTCACACCAATTGACCTAGTCCCATCCTAAGCTGGTGAAGCTTGTGTTATGGGTAGTAGGCAACGGATATACATACATATTATAGATAGATAGACATATAAATACATATTTAAACACCCAAGACCTAAGCATAACACCAAATGCTCATCACATCGATGTTCGTCTCAGCCGGGGATCGAACCCGGGACCCATGGATTCGCAGTCAGTACCGGGATACTAACCACTAGACCAATGAGTCGTCAATTTCGTTCAATGTCGTTCAATTTATAGAATCTTTCTTTAATTTAAAATAAGTAAAGAGCAAGAAAATTGTATGTAATTGCACTTTTTATTTTCCAGGTGGATGTAATACTAGTATTAGATAATGAAAGATTATACAATGAATTAAAGCGGGATATGCCAAAGTTTGTCAAAGTTGTGTATTTACCAAAGAGCGGTGGGGTAAGTTTTCCTTTTCATATACACAACAGGCTGAACACAAAATACCATCCGTATCACTTCGACGTCTGTGGTTCCACTACTGAGCGTTTCTTAAGGGACATTTTGCTGCAAACCACCACTATGTGGATACAGCTATCCACTTAAGTATTCCACATATGGAACCAATTTGACTTAGGGTTATCCAAGAAAAGAGTGTACCAATGTTTAAAAGGCCGGCAACGCACTTGCGAGCCTTCTAGCAATGTAATTATCTATGAGCGGCGGTATCACTTAACATCAGGAGGTGATCATGTTACATGAAAAAAGTTAATTTTGTTTTTAGAGTTACACCTCCCCAAAATACATTCTTCCAATCTTATTTATAACTTAATTTCAGGTAGTGGAAAGATCAACATCTCAACGCGCGGAAATAAGGGATAGTCGAATTAGGGAGTATTTCTATGGGAAACGAACCCCGTACTATCCACATTCATTTGACGTAAAGTTTTCAGATCTTAAAATTTACAAGGTGAATATCGGATATCATAAATATCGCAGAAGTATATTTGTGCTTTTATTTGACTTATAATTAAAAAAACAGCGACTGCAAATCCGACGGTGTCCAAACGCGTTTTAATCCAGTGAAAGCGTATTATACCTGGGCAAAAAACTGTTTTTTTTTTAAATTTAATTGTTAAATTGTAAGATTGTATATAAATAATTTTGCATGATAAATTGCCTTAAAAAATCCACAATTTTATTAAAAAATTGTTCATATTAATTACCTTTACTATAGGTCGGGGCCCCGTCTCTGCCCGACTCGTGCATGCCATTAGGAATGCGCGCAGAAGAAGCCCTAACTAAGTTAGTGCCCGTTTGGGCTTCACCTGCGCTTGCGCATCGCTTACTTGCAGTGTCTTTCTCACCAGCAGCCGATGAACTGGCATTGCATTCGAACCTCGCGGGATTTGTGTGTGTGTAAGTAATTTTAATATATTGTCTATGGTTTATTAATTATATCAGCAAACCGTAAGTATACCACATGGTATATATTAGAATAAATTTGTCCCATTGGCACTTCAAACCTTCAATGATGAACCTGGTTCAAGTACCATAACAATTGATACAGTTTTGGTTAGACTGCTACTCTTCTTGCGTAGAAAGTAAAACCATTAGTAGGCAAGAAATGTAATTACCTAATGGGCGGCAATAGAACATGAGGGTCTGTAAGATATATTTAAGAAAAATGCTGTAAAAACTACTATTTGCGATTATATTTACCCGGTTCTTAGAGTAGCAGCGCCCCTGGAGTGAGTCAAATCGTACATACCCATGTCTGTTTTGGTGAGAGAAAATAACCTTCATTAACAACAAAAATTTGAAAAACTAAGTTTCTTGGATGTAGTGTTTTTCTTATACTCAGTTTCTAAAATGTCTGTCATTGTTCTGATTTGATATTGCTGTTTCCTTATCTATTCTAGTTTCTAAAACATTGATAAAACAATGTTTGGTTGGGCTTTACTTATCGTTTAAACCATTGAAACATTCAAATACAATTGTCTAGTTGTAGGAACTCAAAAAAGCGTTTAATACAGATAACCAACATGTTCCCCAAATTTTCACTTAATTAGTATGAACTAATGATCTTCGTTTATCTAAATCATGGTAGACTCACAGAACCAGTTGTCATTTTTATTTATTATCCAAAAAAAAGGGATACTCTTCTTTAATAAAATCCCAGAGGCTCTTTTTTATCTCTGCCTTTTAATAAATTTACGAATTGTATTAAAGAAAAGCTGTGTACTACTATAAAGTTAACGATTATCTAGTTGATGAAAGGGCCTGGGACTAGTGCTAGACAGGCTACTTCTAATTAATTTGCGATATTGGTTTTAAAATAAGTGTTGTTTGATGATTTGCTATTTTAAAAGAGTACGGAGAGTTTTTTACGCCGGCTTTTTCTCTCGGCCTACACCCTCTGTCTTCTTTGCCGATGAGTAGGGATGCCTACAGATTCAAATTTAATGACATGGAATAAGTGATACATGTATCTTATGTTCCATAATAAACATATTTTTAAACCACTTATAACATGTATTGGTTTAGAGTTCAATGATTCATACATAAGCCAATTAATACAAAAGACATTTTTACTCCACAGTACTGCAGTGGATTCGGAGAGACAAACAATGACAATACTGTCACCACAGCCGAGACCACTTCCCAATACGATACTATTACTTTCGGAGCTACAATATATGGATAATCATTAATAACTAATTGTATTTTATAAATGTAAATATAATTAAGTTAAATAAAACAATGTCTATAAAATAATTTATTTTATTTCATAGTCTGACTAGAAAATAACAATTTTTAATTTCGTAAGCGTCATATTTAATATCTAAAATTAAAATACATGAAATGGTTTTAATCTCAAAAAATTTAAATTAACAATTCACACAAAACGAAAATGGTTTTTTTTTTGTAATTCTGACAAAACTTGCTTTGCAGGAAGTCAAATAAAGACAATAAAAAATGATAAATCTATTACTCAACATAAAGAGGTAGATAACTTCATAGGAAAGGACTTCTTAATATGATAAATGAATTTCATTTTTATAACATTAAGGAATTTTATTGGACATTGGACGAACAGGAATATTGTGGTGTTTTATAATTATATTTAATTGGCGTATTGCAATAGTCAACCATTTTAAACCAAAATGAGAAATTATTTAAATTCTAGTTTATTTTTAATTATGATAGTTTAAATTTTTATTCTACGAGTAATATAATGCAGCACTATACATTAATTGTGTTATAATTTTTTGTAAAATTTTTGCAATACCATTTGTCAAAAAGTTAAAGATTTTATTCCGTTTTAAACGACCTAATTACTTTTTACATATTAAATAATTGTGAATATTATAAAAAGTTCAAAGTCAACAAAGATACATTATATAACAAATATTCCGTAAATACGTATCCATAATAATGGAAATATGTTATATACTTTGGATAAAATTCAGACTTAGCACAAAGTATGACTCCCGTATGTCAAAATCCAATTAGATTAAGTCATACTTAAGCTAAGTATCGACTTGGAATTTTACCTTTAGATCTAATAACCATTATAACATTAACCTGGGATATTGTTACACACTGTACATTGTGCGATAAAAATATTGTGAAAAATAACCACACTCAATGGAATTAAAGAATTGTGTTAAAATTTATACATTAAACCAGAATTAATAAGAAATATAAAAAGGTAAAAGGAAGAATAATGAGATCATTGACCTCTCGGAAGTGACCTTAGAGAGGTCAATGATCTTTGAACATATCTCTAGTGTATATTCGCAATACAACAGATAATATACACAAAAAAAAACTTTTTTTCAGTAGTTGCGTTTAGTAACCTCGCTGTAAACATATACAGGTTAAATTTATAACCTCTTGTTGTGAAGTTCAGTAATAATAAGTCTTAACTGTGTTGCCTATCCTCTGTGGGCCCATCTCCAACAACTTTTTCCGTAACGTGTGATTGAGCAAACTTAATTGCCACCCGCATCGCATCTTGTACCATTTGCTCGCAGGTTATAAGGCTCACCTGAAAAGTTCAGTAAGAATGCAATTATAATAACGGAAAAACTAGTTCCTCGAAATTACTTGATTTTTTTTGTTTTCCTTGTCCATAAAAACTAACGTTTTTTCTAACAAGTATAACGCCAGAAAATGCACTTCATCTCTTGCATTCTTATTTAAACATTCTGGTAAAAACCTCTTATAATCCGAAGAAAATGCCCTTGGCGAACGCGTTTATCACATTTTTATTAATTTTAAAGGGCAGCGTACGGTTAAATTATAGAATTTCTGAGTTCTTAATTTTTTTAATATATAAATAAACTATAGGTTATAAAACTCGGCACCAAAAACCCACTAAGGGATGAGTACAAAACACATTGCATTCTTTAATTCTTAAGAGAAAAATATGACACAAAAAAAATAAAAAAAATGTTTTATTCTTTGACCTTAAATAATCTTGCCTTAATATATTTTTAGTGATAAGCAATAAGTTAGAAATTAATCATAAAAAAAAGGGCGCGTGTAAGTTATAATTCTTTGGCATTATTAAAAATAGTTTTTGATTGCATGCAAATAATTAATTACAATTAAATTATCAAAGACTGGAAAAAGAGTCATTATAGTCAATAAAGTTCAGTTTACATTTGAAAAATTTAATAAATAAATATTTATTATTATTCTCTTACATTAAGTGTAACATAAATTATATTATTATTCGAATGTTGTTATTAAATTATGTCCAATGCCGTAGCATCTTCCGTGGGCAACTTCATTCTGTTAATTTGTGTCACGGTGCGCGCGCATCGTAAAATTTCACTCTCATCAATTTTTCATAACGCGCCTAAAGAAGTATAACTTCAAGAAGTTTATGTTCTATAATTTAATAATATTACTCACTTTAGTAGCGTTCATTTGTGCGTGTGTCAGCGGAGAGGTACCGTCCCGATTGGGCAATTTTTCTGCTTGGAATATCGGCAGAATACAATTCAACCACTTTTCAGCTGTAAATCGTTCGCTCACCAATTCCTGTTGATTAAAATGGCGGTTAGATTTTACAAAAAGTAATAATAATTAATAATAGTGATGTCCTACGGTATTTTACTGTGGGATGCTGCTGCAGAGGTTCAATCCATATTTGTGCTGCAGAAGCGGGCTGAGGTATTTGTTGTGTTTCCCCAAGGGAGTCGGAATGAGTTTTAGGAATTAAATATTTTGACACTATCTGGTCAATATATTCTTGAAGCCTTGTTGTATGTATAAAAAAATATAAAAGACTAAAACAAATGGTGACTTTCACCAGTTTAATACTCGAAACAGAAAAAATCTAAGCGTACGTCCAACCAGGCTCCAGAAGAGAAACCACACCTTATATAGAAATTGTATTCGTTTTTACAACAAACTCCCAAACGAAATTAGAGAATTATCACTGAATAAATTCAGAACTCTCGTTAAACGTAAAATCATCAATAAAGCTTTTGATTTGCTTCAGTTCAAACAATTTGTATCACTCAAAGCTTGGCGATTGAAAAGAGTGGCGTAGAGTTTCTTGCCAGTTCTTTTTGCCCGCTCTACGCCCTAGACTTGCGAACTGGTAGTAAATGTAAATTTAGAATCTATTTAACATCTTTTCTGTTGACGTTCATAAGTGTGTTTCTACTTGGTTACCTATATGAATAAAGATATTTTGAGATTGAGTTACAGTAAATTAGGCTACAAGGCCTACAACTAACAATATATAACGGTACTGTCTATTAGTTATGGTACATTCACACAAATTCACTTTTTTTAAATATTTTCAATAGATATTTATAATCGGTTATTATAACAGGATTATGATTCTTAAGACGTAACAGTACATTGCTCTTTTCAGTAGATATTGCAGTTCTTAATAGATAATATACATAAGATCGGACCTTACCTGTGGTACTCGAGCCACTGCGACGATAACGCCACCCGCGCATCCCATTAAAATAGCTGGAAGTTCGCCATTAGCAACATCATTCTGTGTCACATTGTCTATGGATTGTTTCACAATATTTATTGAATCTATCGTTTTCTCAATGCTCATGTTGTCTATGGATTTGTCGATGTTCGGATGTAAATGTCTGCTACCTATTTCAAATGAATCTGTGGTTGTCTGTGGGCAAGTGCGTGTATTGGCTAAAGCTAAAGCAGCGGCTGGGGGTTGCATAAGGTAAGAACAACGCAAGAAATGTACAACAAAGCGTCGGCCCTCGCGGATCGCTTCGTGACACGCCTCGTATATTTCCGTTTCTGCTATTGATCTGTGGAGGCACATATAGTTGGGTTATTGCGTTGTTAGCACAAGATTAAAGCTTGTTTACCATGACCGTATATATTGGGGTACGAACTGATCAGCAACTGCGTTAGGGAGCATTCAAGTATTACGTAACGAATTTTGGGAGGGGAGTCTATTTGTAAAACGTTACGATGCGGGGCGGGGATTCAATTACGTTATTGTTAATATTATTTTTGACTTTCCAGTACTTTACACCACATAATGGTAACTTTTAGGTATTTATTGGATACAGAAAACGTTACGGTGCGTTACATTTGGTTTGGCAATAATCTCCAAAAATTGCGTGACCTAATACTTGAACGCTCCCTTAAATAAACTATTTTTTTTTATCTAAAAAGTCAGCAATATAATAAATACAGCATCGCAAGATAATAAATATTTTGAAAACTTTACACATTCAGAAAAGATAAGAGTTATAAAAACAAATCTTACCGTAAAGCAACGTCATTCCGATTAGCAGCTTTCTTGAGGAGACTGTCAAGTAACTTTTGGCAGGCCAAGTGTTCCCCACAGGGTACACCAGGTCCACACAAAGTAGCCAGCTGCTGACGAATATATTCCACCTCATTTTGGATTCTTTCAGGATCTGCGAGATCTGTAACTTGCGATAGCTTTTCAGCACGGCAGAAAAGCTCACGTGCCTGAAAAAATAACGACGCGTCAAGCTCAATAACCCTTTTGATTACCTAATATTAATTAGGGTAAAACATCCGTGTATCTATGAGTGAGAGTCGGGCATAGTAGCTCATAGCGGGGTTATTAATTTAGTGTGATTAGAATGTACTTGGAAAAAATGATAATCGAATCTGCTGAGCTGTAATCCAAAACATCTTTTGGACTTGACCAATCACACATAAGGATCTGCTTTTCAAGTTAAATCTATTCCTTTTTTGTTATTAAGATTCCGATTTTCGATAGCGCGATCAACTGCGATAATAGGCATTTATTTTATTTACTAGGAAACAAGATTCATAACGAATATAAATAACATAACTACCACATAAATTTGTAAATTTTTGGTCCTTCGAGACGGAACTAACCTCGAGAGCGAAATCACCAGTCAGCGCAAATAATGTAGGGTTTTGACTATTAGCTGCTTTGACGGAAGTTATGCAGAAATCACCAATGACCTTCGTTGACGGAACGTGGGTTCCGCAACATAGTTCCCTAGAAGAAATTTAATGAAGGAGATGTCAACAATTATTCAGTTAAAGATGCTAGCAACTTTTTAAAATAATCTAATGATTACACATATATGTTAAAGTATATTTACCTATTGGGAAGTATACTGGCTTTAATAATTGCAGGTACATGAGTCAATTGTGGATAATAATTAACGTTTTTGTATCACAACTCCATAAATTT